TTTTGCTTGGATTAAAAACCATATGGCATACTGTAAATTTAATAACATTAAAGCTGAGGCCAATAAATAAAAGGTCCATGGTCCTTATCCAATTCTGGATTTCTAACTAAAGAGTGGCATGATGGCCACACGTTAATCACACATCTGACTAGAGAACTAGAAAATGGTACCTTTGAAAGCAAGTAATTTACTGAGGATGTGGGATTTAATATTTTCAAAGCCATGAACTAGTTATTCTTCATCTTTACTACAAATAAACATGAAATAGGATAGCAGACTTAGGTCAACTACAGAAAAGCATTTCTAGAGTGTGTTAAGTACTTGAGTAGATTGCTAAAGGAGATTGGAATTCTCTTAAGGACTTGAAAAAGGATACATTTTAACCTTTCAGGAATGGATTCTCTGAAAGTGAAGAACTTGTGACAGTCCTTCTCACCTTAAAATAAAATTCTTAAAACCAAGTACTTATGGAATATCATGCTTTTGTATTTGTTTCATTCCTAATTTAAAATTTATCTAAGAGAAGTATATAAATAATGGAATATTCCAGATTTGATTTGGTACAGGGCTAGAAACAATGGGGATAATATACAAATAGGGCTCAGCACTGCATGAGAAAAGGAAGAAAGTATTAAAACATGAAACAACTAAAAAAATTAAAATTCCATATCATAACAACTCTTTAGGTAAATTATAAAATGTAGTATCTTCTACCAATATAGTCTGCAAACAAACTATAAAGAATTTGAAACCAAGCAAGTAGAAATAAACCCCCTGAAACTGATACAAGTAGAATTATACAAATCTATTATTTTATTTATTCAGTTAATTTTTTCACCAATATTAAACAAAGAAGCCCATTTTGTTTTGTTTTGTTCCCCAAATGGGGAACAGGTAATATATACCGAGAAAACATATCAATTTATTCAACAAGAATGTGTGCCTTAGAAATCAAACCACTATAAAAGTTCTTTTTATGTTGCCAGATCAAATTTTGAAAGGACCTTAACCAAATGATCAAAGTTACCATCACCAATAATGGAACAAAACCAACATCCGGTGAGCCCTGATATGATGTGCTGAGGATGACACAACATTACTTCTGTGATATTCCTGACAAAAAAATGCACTCTAATCATTAGGAAACATTGGAAAAACCCAAATTGAGGGACAGTCTATTAAACAACCAGCCTATATAGCTTTACAAATGTCAAGGTCATAAAAGACAAAGAAAAGCCAAGCAACTAGTCTACATTAAAGGAAACTAAAGAGACATGGCAACTAACTGTAATACATGACCCTGGACTGGACTCAGCCTTTTATGGAGGGTAAAGGTGGTTGACATGCAAAGAGGAAGTTATATGACATACCTGGGACTACGAACTGCTGATTATATAATACTGTATCGTTAAATTTCTCGATTTTGATTACTGTACTGTGGCTACCTTAAAAATAATTCTTATGGAATATACACAAAAATATTTAGGTGTAAAGGGACTGATGCCTGCCACTTACTATCAAATGATTCAGAAAAAAGAATACTGAGAGACAGAAAGTTTGATAAAGCAAATGAGGCAAAAATGTAAACAATTGGTGAATCTGGATAAAGTGTATATGAGAGTTCTTTACTCTTCTTGAAACATATTTGTTAAGTTTGAAATTATGTCAAATAAAGAGCTGCAAAAAAATCTTAATTGGGTATATTAATTCCTACACAGCATTTTCAGTTCCAACCAGCAACTTACCTCCTTCAAACCTGACAGCACCAGAAAAAAAAAAAACAAAAAAACACCTCACATTTAGTAGGCAAGGAAAAGCTACCCTTTAAAAAAGTATACATATATCACATAGTCCTAAAGCACTATTTACTATATTTAGAACTCTGGAATTTATAGAAAGTAATTTTAAAATGCCAGATTTTACTATTTTCAGTCTTAAAATGCTTTCATCTGATGATAATTTGACAAATCCTATCACCTGCTGTTTTAGGCATCCCATTCCTAAGGTGATGTTAACTCAGTAATTTTTTCCAGGAATTTTATCAATAGTGATATCTGAATTGAGATACAATGAGGAAAAAGTCATGGCATACAGTCTAAAAAGATGGGATTCCCCCCCACCCCACTAACTTCAGAATATAAGAAGCTAAAGCCATCCAGATACAAAGTATACAGTTCTTAATGGTTTACTACTTCATATAAATAGAGCTCTGAAAGTGAAACTAGCCTCTTGGGAGAGCTGATGGATAAATGTCTGAACACCTGTGTGTGCTTTGTTATAATGCTACAATAAGCCGGTCTGAAATGGCTTCACTGAAGTGCTGGAAGACTTACTTCCTGGGTGCCCAGCCATCCTTTCATCAGATATGTCAGTATCCATCCCTTTTAGTAATAGTCAAGAAATAGCATCATTAAATTCCCTCTAGAAAGGGTATTGTAATCAGAAATGACAAAGTAAATTTTCTGTCATCCACAGAAATAAGAAGTATCATATTATACTAACTGTATTTCTAATTATTTTACTGATTCAGTCAATAAATTTTTGGCTAGAGTAATAATATTTTCAGTACATTAAAAGTGGGCACTTACTGCTAGTGGTGGAAGAAGGGGAAATTCATACTAGCTTCCCAGGGTGCAAAATGACAATGTGTGTTAACCTCATAAAAACCAATACTCTTTGACCCAGAAAGTTCACTTCTAGGAATTTATTCTACAGAAATATAATATACACAAAGTTATTTAGATACAAAAATATGTCTGCATATATGTACATATACATATATGTACATGTACAATATTTATGTATAAGAATATCCATCAAAAACTAATGATGTAATGTATGGTGATTAACATAACATAATAAAAAAAAGAATATCCATCATTTCAATAATAAATGAAAACCACTTCTATGTCCAAAGACACAAGGATTATTAAATAGGTTAGTATGTATCTATACAATGCAAAGTATGCTACTCTTAAAAATGATGACATAATAGATTAGTATAGTAGTGCATCTATCAAATTTTTAAATAAACTGGGAAATATATACACATATACTAAAAATTGTATTTAAGTTATGGAGGGTGCAATCAAAAGTGTTTGTACCTCATTTGGGAGGCCACTATTCTATACAAGAGGCTGTGGCAGCCTAGACCAGGAGATGACAAACTATAGTCCTTAGGCTAACTTGGCCCCACTGCCTGCTTTTGTAAGTAAAATTTACTGCAACATAGACATGCCTATTCATTTATTTATTGTCTGTGGCTGCTTTTCACATTACAACCACAGAGCTAAGTAGTTCTGACAGACATTGTAAGCCCACAAAGCTGAAAATATTTACTATCTGGATCTTTATGGAAAAAAGTTTCTGAACCCTGGCCCAGAAACCTAGCTCACATTTCTCTCCAATGCTTTCCAAACAGCCTTTCAATGTATTGAATTATGTGATATAATCATAGACGAAATGGTTTCCAAACTATATCTTTGCATGTGCGGCAGGAGAGTAAAAGGATCTCAGTCCATCCATTTACCCCAGCCAAGGGGGCAAATGGAGCAAGTAAGGGGAAAGAAGGAACGAGGAAGATAAGGGTTAAAGAAGGGATAAGACAAGTTGGAAAGCCACTTCTCTCCTTAAGGGGTGGGAGGGGGAGGGCAAGACAAGGAGATCCTTATCTGGTAAAGGAGTTTGTATTCAGGAACTGAGTTTGTACTGGAACCCAAGTCTCTTAATATATAGCATGTATATTATATAGATGGATTCTCAATTCTCAATTGGAGGGGGAGAGCAGACAAATTTTTAGGTATTAAAATGGTTTGTGGCCTTCCAGAGCTCAACGCAATTCAGGAATCTTATTCCTTAGTATTTAATTTTGTTAATTTCTCTCTCATTTAAGTTAAATGAAAATCGATCAAACTGATTTAATTCTTCTCTGGGGGGGGGCAATAATGAGAAAAAAAACCTTGAACAATGGTATATAGAAAATAATCCTTAACTTTGAGTTCCCTTACGCAAAATGTTAAAAGGCTCTTAATTGCTAATATACACATTTTAACCCATATTTTTGGTTCCAGTATGCACAAACTACAAATCAATCCTGTTACGGGCCAGTCTCAAAAGAGGAAACTGCAGGTGGGTACAGAAAAGGGAAGGAAAGTAAAAGAGCAAAAAGAAGTTTATTGCAGTGAAAATGTAGAGAGGAAAGTAAAATCAGGACTCAGAACTGTACACCCTTAGCATTTGTAAGAAAGATGTTGAGCCACATACTACACAATGAAGTTACCACGATGGGCAAAAACCTACATAACCTTACATAACACTAGGCCTGGGGCACGTAGATTGAGAAAGACCTAATCAGTAATCTCAAACATTCAAGTTATTTGTTATCTCTTGAACAACAGTAGGAACCAATGGATATAAACAACTATTAGAACTTCAGGGAAGAGAAATGGAAAGTTTTTAGTATAAAAGGATGAAAATGGCAGTTAATGGTTGTGCTAGTTACTAAGCTGCTACCTCTGCCATAAATTTATTATAGAACTCTGCAAATGACATTTTTCCTTTGCCAGCTAGCTCCCTGTTAAGTTCTGCTAGGAAGAGGTGTGAGAAGGAAGTTGAATAGTTCCAGAAAGTGAGAAGGGCTTCCCTGTTTTACTTGCTGCTCCTGTCAGGGCTGCCCCTGCAACAACTCTTTACTCCAAAGGAAGTAACTCCTTAGTAGAGTTGGTTCCAATTTCTAGGTTGTTGCTGTTGTTTTCCATTTTCCCAGAACCAGACCCATCATATTCCCTCAGAGGCCACTAGCACAGCCAAGCAGCAGCCCCTTCTCAAAGGTCCAGCTCTTAGCTCTGTGGAGCCCATCCCACAAGCCTCTGAGGTACCAACACCAGTCAATCAACACCTAGTCCTCCCAGGTCTGGGTCCCAGCTCTGCCCTTCTCTGAGATCTTAAATCCCAATAATCTCAACCTCTTCTCTTCCCCCCAGCCCCGCAAAGATTCTGGAAAATATATGGAACGCTTCACAAATTTGTGTGTCATCCTTTGTGCAAGGGCCATGTTAATCTTCTCTGTATTGTTCCAATTGTAGTGTATGAGCTGTAAAAGAGAGCACCCAACCTCTTCTCTTTGTTCCCCCAGGAGCAGTACCTGATTCTTGCTATTACTATCTCTTGATATCTCAGTGTTCCGCCTTTTGCATCACCCTCCCATACCTAATTAACCAACTCACCATAAAAAATTCTATTAAGATAACTAGTGTGGTTTCATCTTCCTGATTGGTTCCTGACAGATACAATGGTATCAAGTAGTCCTTATTTTAGATGTAATTAATATTCTCTTTAGGTGTTATTTTTAGTGTTTAATTTTAGTTTAAGTAAAAAATATTTTTAAGGACTATGAGAATTTTATTCACACTTCAGTCTCCCTAAATTTTTTATATATTTTTTTCCTGTTAGGTGTAAGATTTTTTTTCCTCCCACAATTCTTTTGGTTAAATCTGTGAGAAAGCCCCAAGTCACTAATGTGTTTGTGATACTTATCCTTAATCTATTCCATACCTTCCAATTGTGTCTAAGCCCAAAGGGATGTAAATCTTCCTTTTTAACAAGAACAGCAAACCCTTTAGTTCTGGGCAGCAGTAACTGGAATAGCTAGTGACAGGTAGAGGAATACATTTTAAAGAGTTATCAAGAGGGAGCAGGTTAACTGATTCTTAACATCCCAGAAAAATGACCATATTTATTAATACATATATTTTAAATATATGCTGGAGTTAGTCACAGTGGGGAGATACAAAATGTCTAAGTGTAAAACATGTACTTCAGTAAGATAAGAGTTATTTGTACAACTGTATAACTATTAACTTATCAAAATCTCACCTTGATAGCTACCTTGGGTAAATACATCATTTAACCTCTGGTAGCCTCAGTTTTCTCATCTGTAAAGAAAATAGGCTGGACTAGGTCTCTGTTGCCATATATCTAACATGACAATCTATACAATTTCTTTCAGTGCTGAGGCATTGGGAGCTCAGCATCATTACTGAGAGAAACAAAAGACTGGTTTTGTAAAGGGAAAAACAAAAGAGGTAGAAAAAAAGAGTACAAAGATTGATAGTTTAAAAATATAATTTGAAAGCGATTCAAATACATAATATTAGAGAATTCCTTATCTTCTTCCTCTAAGTCAAGGAAAAGGAAGAAACTATATCACAGGTAAACTATCTCGTTAAAAAGATTAAAAAGTTTCTTTATTTCTATTATCACAGTCTTTGAAAACATTTACTAAGTCAGAAAGGATACTTCTTAAATTCTCTTCAAGATAGAAAACATGTCCTTGTATCATATGATCTCACTGATATGAGGAATTCTTTTTTTTTTTTAAGATTTTATTTATTTATTTGACAGAGAGAGACACAGTGAGAGAGGGAACACAAGCAGAGGGAGTGGGAGAGGGAGAAGCAGGCTTCCCACTGAGCAGGGAGCCCGATGTGGGGCTCAGTCCCAGGACCCTGGGATCATGACCTGAGCCGAAGGCTGACGCCCAACGACTGAGCCACCCAGGCGCCCGATGATATGAGGAATTCTTAATCTCAGGAAACAAACTGAGGGTTGCTGAAACAAATAATACATTATATGTAAAAAAAAAAAAAAAAAAAAAGAAGAATATAGTAGGAAGGGAAAAATGAAGGGGGGGAAATTGGAGGGGGAGATGAACCATGAGACTCTATGGACTCTGAAAAACAAACTGAGGGTTCTGCGGGGGGTGGATGGGTTAACCTGGTGATGGGTATTAAAGAGGGCACGTATTGAATGGAGCACTGGGTGTTATACACAAACAATGAATCATGGAACACTACATCAAAAACTAATGATGTAATAATGTATGGTGATTAACATAACATAATAAAATAAAATTTTAAAAAAGATAGAAAACATGTCTTTTTTTTGTTTTTCAGTTTTAAAGACTAAGTGAATTTTGATATTCTTCTTTCAAATTGTCTGACCACCTGCTATACAGTAGACCATATGCTTTCATGGCTTATTTATAGAAATAATTATATTTAAAGTACCAGTTAAAAGTTCATGGGCTAGGCCAGATCATTTATCATTTAGTAGTTACCACTTAACTTGGTGCAACTGGTTGGTTTTGATAAAAGGGAAATTTGGTGATAACAACTTTCAAATTTTATAATCAATTAAGTTACTCCAATGAAAACAGAGGGAGAAAAACTGAAGGAGGATGACTAATGTTTTTAGGAGATCTCTCTGGTTGCTGTGTGGATAATGGTTTGTAGGGAGGGCAAGAGTGAAAGTAAGAAGTGCAAATGAGACACTAAGCTATACCTCATGTAGAAAATGATACTGGCTTGGTCCATATCAGTGGAACTATCACTCCATTCAGGTATCAGTGGAGATAAATAAAAGAAAAAAGAAAAGGCTTTTTTTTTTATGGCCTCAATAAGGTCAAACATTTTTATAGAGGATACTAAAGTAACGGAGTTGGAAATGTAGATGGTGGAGAGAAAGAAATACATGCTAACAAGATATAATTTGGGGGTACAGCTGGTGATAATGACAAGCTTGTTAACTTTTTAAGATGTGACTATAGGATAGTAGAGCATGTGACTATTGATCTCAGGGCCAAGAGTTCGAGCCCCACATTTGGCGTGACTATAGGAGTAGGCAGCTTAGAAAGGATAGAGACAAAGATAGTTACAAGTGAGAAAATAGAAACTAAATGAGAAGTAATGCTATCATTATTAGTAAATACCTGGACAGTCTTCCACTAACATCTGTTGGTCAGAATGTTTTACACAACATACACAGTACACTGTATGCAAATGAGAGCATTATAACTGCTCATAAAATATCTAACTTATAATGTCTCTCTTAATAATACTATTACTCTAACCACATCCCCAAACTTATCCAGTCCACTAAAATAGCAATGGCTTTTAGAACTTTCATGGAGACATTCAGCAACATAATAATAATATCTTAGGCAATATAATAGTTTATTTTACTATGGAAAGTAACTAGACTTACTGTGGTGATCATTCTGCAGTATACACAAATATCGAGTCATTATGTTATTTGTGTATACTGCAAATGATCAAAACTAGGGTCAAAAACTAATATAATGTTATACATTAACTATACCTCAATTTAAAAATAATACTGATAATAGTTTTCCAAAACTATTTGTACACAGCACACCTAAAACAGACCATATACTGCAAATTGCTGGAAGTAAAAGATGGATAAATTGGGTTCTTTATACTAATCTCTCACTTTTTTATAAGTCTTAATATTTCTGTAATAAAAAGTTTACAGAAAAACTAAGTGATGAGAATGTGGACTGGCAACCACAGTCTCGGAATCTCTATTTTTGATGAAAAATGGGCTCCCCTATTTTGAAAAACTGGCATGTTGAGCTCTATAAATCGCCTAAGGCAAAGTGCTAAGCATAGGAAAGGCATCCACTTTATGAAACCTTTGTCCTGGAATAGACACTATGAATCTTTTAAAACAAAGGAGTCCAAGTTTGCTGCTCAGGATAACACACTGAACATAAAAGATTACTAATGACTTATGAACTCCTAATGTAGCATGAATCATGCCAGCAACACTAGGATATTGGTTTCAACAAATAGCCTATTTTATTTTATAAACTTCACCAGAATATTATCAACAGCAGTATTAGAAAATGGAAAGCTAATAAAATTAGGAGGCGGCATCGGCATACTGCACACAGTGTTTCTCATCGCTCTAATGCAGAATCTAATGGATGAGAGATCCATCTTTTAACTTAAAAAAAAAAGGAGCCAGTAAACCTAGAAAAATAGACCTCCATTTGACAAAGTTATTAGAGAATATTTTGCTACCTCAATTCAATAAACTGCATTAGTGAAACCAGTTTCTTTTATAAGAAAAAAAAGAGGCAGCATACTTTCTTCTTGTGTTTTATTATAGTTCAAAAAGCCTGATTATATTAACATTTTCTTGTTTTCCTTGAGCGATATCTGAAGTAGAAGACAACTGAAAGGTTAGAGGATTATAAATATTCTCTTTCTATAAAGATGTTTTCCTAATTCTACAATAGAGGATATTATAAATACTGGATAATATCAAACTTTCAGAAATCAATGCTTTTCACAAACACCCAGGTTGCCTACCTGTGAAATAGAGCTTTTAATATCTAACCCTGATTTTATTTGATATCATGACCAAGTATTTTTCTGAAAAATAAATGGTTATTAGCAATTTCTACTACAGTTCCATAACAGCAAAGGCAGAATCCATGTTTAGGTGATTACTTTATGTTTTGATTCAGTTATCTGCAGGGTGTCTGCATGGTACTCTAACTATTTAAAGCCAGCAAAAAAGATTACAGCTCATACTAACTGGATTTTCACAGCTCCCTATCATTCGGCTTGAATTCCTCATGGGCAGATTAAAAGGGCCAAGGCAAACAATAGTCTTTTTACAAGGTGGTTATTGAAAAAAAAAGAAGAGGAAGAAGAAAAGAGAAAAAAAAAACTATATTTTAGGGTCAAAACGAAATTTTTTAAGGAAGCAGCCACATAAAAACAAACTTAAATGTCTAACAGAGGTAAAACTCTAGGTGTTACCATATAATGAATCCAAATCAAGAAATTAATAGCATCTGAAAGAATGGTAATTTTTATCCTGAAATCTGTAACATAGATGATATGGTTTTAGAGTTCAAAGATGGTTAGTTAGGCATCAAAGAATAGAGTTAAAAGTACCTCAATGATCACTTAGTCTAACCTACTATTATAGTATAGATAGGCTGAGGCCCAAAGAACTGAACATGGCATTTCAAGTCAACTACTGGCAGATTACCAAAATAACCATGTAAGTATTTCATGTTCTTTTCCACTTTGACTTAACCACCCTCATTCTCTACCTTCACTCATTTCAAATGATCAAATGACTTCCCAATCTATGATTATAGCCTTTCTCAATGAGTCCCTGATACAAGGCCTTCCTTATATATTATCTCCTCTAATCCTCATGCAATTCCAGGAGGTAGTTATTTTCATCATGGCCATTTTACAGATAAAAAACCTAAGACTTAGAGAGATTA